CAATATTAATGTCAAAAATACGTAGTATGATTTTACATAGGATTTGTGCTACATTAGAACAGTCAAGACAAATATCACTTAATATACAGTGTTCCCTCACTTATCGCAGTCGTTACGTTTCAAGACCACCAGCAAAAAGTGAAAATCCGCAAAGTAGGGACACTATATATATTATATTCCAAGGGTGAGGCAGAAATGAGGAGATATTTAAAGGCACCACACACCTTTTTTTTTTTTTTGCTAGCTTTAAGGGACTAAAAGACCATGATTTACATACTGCCTTGTATCTCCTCTCTCTCTCTTTTTATGATTGGCTGCCTCTCTCCCGAGAGGGAGGGTGAAACCCCCTTCCACACCCCATCATTGCCAAGGGGCAAAAACCCGCGAAACAGTGAATCCGCGAAAAGCGAACCACGAAGTAGCAAGGGAACACTTTATACATATGTGTGTGTGTGTGTATGTATATATATATATATATATATATATATATATATATATATATAAGGAAACTCCAAGCATTATGTCCCCAAACGCACTTTATCAGAGAGCCAAGATATCTACATGCCCATCCCCCTCCAAACACCTACCCTTTTTCACCTGGTCATGCCCAGCACTTTTTAATTTTAATTATTACATTTGGCCCTGCCACAGATTTTAATTGCGTCATGGTGTGTTGTTAATGTTATTGCCTTGTTTTTGAGTTATTTCGCTGTATTGTTGTTGTTGTTTTTACTGTTGTATTTGGGCTCGGCCTCTTGTAAGCCGCACCGAGTCCTCCGGGAGATGGTAGTAGGGTACAAATAAAGGATTATTATTATTATTATTATTATACACACAGATAAACACATACATACACATAAATACACAGTACATACGCCTTTCAAGGCAGTTATTTTCACTCTTAAATTCTCTCTTGTCCCCCATGAGTATGGGAGAAAAAATGTTGGGCTGTGTACAATCTGATAACCCTAAATGTCTTCAAGTACAATATTGTTGGTTTTGTTTTTGTTTAGAAAAATTACACATCACCTTTTAGATATTTTTGTGTGTTTTTGCTGAAAATGCCTCGCAGTGTCGCTTAAATATTTTAATTTTCCCTTAGTAAAACTTTTGTTCAACATTTGCTTTTGTAGACTTGTTGTGAGTCTCTCGGCATTTAATGGTCTTGTAAATATACTATGCCAGCAGTGAATCTCAGGTGAGGTTCAGAATGAAGTATCTCTTTAAAAATAAAAAGGGGATATTTCTCATTCCTCAGAGCACTCAAAAGTGTAAGAGCACAAAGTTTTTCAAACTCAGAGAAGATGTCTTATAACTGATGCTTTCCAAAGCTCCTCAGGCACTATGACTTGCAAAAGTGATTTAAAGTTATACTAATTGCCAGAATATTTATTTGTTCAAATACCCAAGTCTACATCCCCCCTACCGATAGAAAAAAAGCAGAGCATCATTGTGGAATTGAAAGATGACTGGAACCCTGCAGGGAAGAATGCGGTTGCAGCACGAATGTCTGGTTATGTTTCTTCCCACGCCATCTAGACTGGTTTGTGACCTTTGATATCATTGGTGCTTTGACCACAGACAACCCCTGAGTCACCTTGTCCTGCTCTGATAAGCAGGTCACTAGTAACAGAGAAAGAAAGGTGGGCGAAATCCAGCCACTGGATTAATTTTTTTTATAATTTGCCTAGCATTTTAAAACATCTGTTTAAATTAATCTTATAGAAGATCAGCGATTAGGCGAAGCCATGACGATAAATTGGGTCATAAAGCTGCTTACAGGGAGTTGAAACCTTTTTCTTTCTTTCTTTTTTGCACATGAAATGCCCACAACATTTTGTGGCAGTATTGGCCAAACACTACACCAGGGAAGTACTAGGCTTACAGTCTCATCCATTAGACTGAATTTCATTTCCTTTTGTCAATCTATTTAAAGCGTGTTCAAGTACAGTGTGGAGGTAATTCAGTTTTAAAGAGTTCTAATGTTACAAATACTATTCTGTTTGGGGTAATGAAAAGGAGGCAATGACATTATCTTTTCCCTGTTTTAATCTTCATCTTAATATAGTACATAGGGTGAGATAGAATATAATGAGTACTATTTTCCCTATTGAGAGCCAGTATGGTGTAGTGGTTAAGCTACAGGTCTGAAGACCAGGGCCAGATCTACGCTTACCACTTAGGTTGGTGTAAATGTGAATTAACCCCATAGTGCCCAAACAGTACACGTGATTGATCCAAGGTTTACATCTTCTCCCACGTTACCCCAAGTTGGGGGAAAGTCCAAATACTGTGCAGCGGGAACTTGTAAATGTTGGAGTATATTGCATCTGGAAACTATTTTCCTTGCCAAAAGATATTCAGATCAGCGGCAGTCTTGGTGAAATGGTTGGGTGGCTATCCAGAACATACTGCCATTCCCTGTGCTATTCCAAAGCATCCAAAATCAACTTGAGGAACTGGATTTCATCCTGGAGGCTCGCCAGGGTCTGTACCTATGCAGGGTTTTATTTTCCTCCCAGACCTTCTTGTTTGGGCTGGCTGTTAATCTGCAGAGTTCAGCAATTATTAAATCATTTTGGAGGTAACATGTTGAAAATGAACTTTATTTATTGGTTTTGTTGGTTTGTGCTTTTGGTATCTACAATCAGTTACTTATTAACAAGTTAAAGTTTGCCCAGTGTGCTGGTGGGCAGAATTTTGGCCCAGAATTGTTGAGATTATTATTTGAACTGTGCCTTCACCTCTCATAATATATCACTTTCCTGTGTGAATTTAGTCAAGGGAATCAGGAAAGGAAGATTAGCATTTCATTATGAACCGATATCAAAGAGCAGCACCTATGGGCATTCAAATGGATTCAAACTACAAAAAAAGAGATTACAGTGATCTCTTGCTACTTCGCGGTTTTCTTTTTGCGGACTTGCTGTTTTGTGGTTTTTTAATATAATAATAATAATAATAATAATAATAATAATAAACCTTTATTTGTACCCCGCTACCATTTCCTGAAGGACTTGGCGCAGCTTATAAGAGGCTGAGCCCAAATACAACAATAAAAACAGCTGCAACAACAACAATGCAATAACTAAAAAAAAAAAAAACCAAAGCAATAACATTAACAACACCCAATGACGCAATTAAAAACAATGGCCGGGCCAAATGTAATAATTAATAATTAAAAATTAAAAGTGCTGGGCATGACAAGGTGGGGAGTTTGGAGGGGGATGGGCATGCAGATATCCAGAATCTCTGATAACAGAATCTCTGATAAAGTGCGTTGGGACATAATGCTAGGAGTTTCCTTATTCTGGAAAGGCACACTGGAACAACCACGTTTTCAAGCTCCTTCTAAAGATTCCTAAAGGCTTAAGAGCGTTTATCTGTATGGAGAGGCTGCTTCTGCGGATAAAGCCAGAACCGAGGATTACATGAGGGTTATGTAGCGTATAAATGTGTGGAGAGGGTTTATAAAGACTTAAAATAGTGTATAACTACTAAAATAATGTATAAATATTAAATATTAAAATAAATATAGCGTCCCTACTTTGCGGATTTTCACTTTTTGCGGGTGGTCCTGAAATATAACACTCGTGATAAGTGAGGGACTACTGTACATCTAAACATTAGGAAGAACTTCCTGATGGTAAGAGCTGTTTGACTATGGTATATGCTACCTTAAAGCATGGTGAAGTCTCCTTCTCTGGAGGTTTTTAAGCAGAGGCTGAGTGGCCATCTATCAAAAGTGCTTTGATAGTATATTCTTGCATGACAAAGGATTGGAATAGATGGCCCTTTGGTCTCTCCCAACTCTATGATACTGTTGATCCAGTATGTGGCCTGAGCCCTCTGCTGCTTCCACTGCTATTTTGCCCATCACTGCACATTGCTACTTGCCCATCTGTTACTGTAACTGCTAAGGGGGCACAACTGCTTGGTTTTGTTTCATACAGGCAGTAATGGGTCATGGATCCTGCTGAGATTGTTCTGACCACTGGTCCAAAGCAGCAGGCAGCTGAATGAGCAGATGGTCATTTCCAGAATCTGGAAAACAATGCCCAGAATATCCTAGCCACTATGGCCAGTATCCATGGCTTGGGAACTCTGAGGATTGTAGTCCAAAAAGTAACTTGAATAAGCTGTGGCCAGCTCTTTGGCTTCTCCTGAAGCATCTTCTCACTCTTTTCCATACTAATTCACTAGTTGGGCAGCAGCTACAGTGGAGTTGGAAATGTTATCCCATCAGGGTGCTATGGACATGGTACCTGAAGCCTACCCTCCAAATCTAGAAGTAGCGTGAAGTACTTGTCTCCATCCTCTTGTTGACCCTGGGAGTAAATGGGTCCATGGGTAACCATGGCAGAAGGGCATTTCATCAATAATTTATTGGATATCTTTCAAATGAACATAAGTAGGTACAGCAGCACAGCATGGTCTTTTTTATGTCTCCTATTTAGTAAGGCACTGTCTTCTTCCAGCCAAGCTCAAGGGATGCTGACTCAACTGAATTTGCTCGCTCGCAAGGGGAATGTTCCAGAGATATCTGGAGTAAGATTATGCTGGAGAAGCTCTTTGAGTTTCAGATATTCTGCAAAACCTGGGAGAGATCCAGAAGAAGCAGGTGTTGGTCCTAGAGTCCAGAGTGTAACTGTGTCGGGTCTATCCACGGGCAAGGCCAAAGCCCTGCTCCTTGAGCAGAGTTGCAGAGAATATCAACAACTTGTACTTTGGCTTCAACATGGCTGATCAGGGTCACATAGAGATGATATTACAAAGCTATAACAATTTTTATGTTGTCAGTGAAGGCAAATGGTGGTAGTCAAGAGTGTGTTCATTTGAAAGCAATGAAAACAAACATTTTGTCAAGGAATACTCTAGGAAAAACTTTCAGAAGTCTTTCCAAGAGGTTAACAAGATAAGAGTTTTCATCTGGCAGTATCCCTGCTACACAAAAATGAAGGGGACTTAGAAAGTCTCTGTTCTCTTTTCCTTTATTATAGATAATGACATGGACCTAGGGGCTCTTCAAAACAACCTCAACTGCACTGTGGACAATGCTTATGAGGACGATCTGAAATCTGGCCGTACCAGCACCCTTTCAAATGCCAACCCTGCTTGCAACGGTGAGCAAGTGGATCTCCTGACGGGGAGTGATGCCGTCAAACGTTCTCAACCACTGTTCATCCAAGCCAGCAGGTACGTGGAGTTGAAACAATGTATTGTGGGAAAGTCTGAACACTATTTTCAGGAAATTCAGAATGGGATGGTAGAGCGACATCAATTTTGTTCCTGAACTTACATTGACAAGGCATCCTACAAGTCTCATGGGGACTTTTTGGAAGCCCCACAGGATGATTTCAGTCCTGGATGTCCAGCCATGGGAACATAACTAGACACTTTTCTGCCAGGTTCTGTTCTCCACCAGATAGCTGCAATGAGTAAAAAGTCAATTTGGGAAGGGAGTTTGTTATTGCTGGGGGTGTAGCTATGCGGGAGGCAAAGTGGAGGGCATTGCTCTCCCAAATAAGAAATTTCCTCCCCATTAAATTTTTCATTAGTCCCTCAATTTGTTTTGCAGTACTTTAAAACATTAATTGACCACATAGGTTAGCCATAAAAATGGGGGGAGGGGCAGGGAAATTTACCAAAGTAATGCAATCTGGGAATGATCCTGGATTCATTGCTGAACCTGGAAACCCAGGTCTCGGCGGTGGCCGGGAGAGCTTTCGCACAGTTAAAACTTGTGCGCCAGCGTTCCTTGGGAAGTCTGACTTGGCCACTGTGGTCCACGCTCTGATTACATCCCGAATGGATTACTGCAACACTCTCTACATGGGGCTGCCTTTGAAAACCTCTCGGAAACTTCAATTAGTCCAACGGTTGGCAGCCATGTTGTTAACTGGAGCGGCGTACAGGGAACACACTTCTCCTCTGTTGCGCCAACTCCACTGACTGCCGATCCGCTTCCGAGCACAATTCAAAGTTCTGGTTTTAACCTATAAAGCCCTGAACAGTTCTGGCCCAGATTACCTGTCTGAACGTATCTCGTGCTATCACGAAAACTATCACGAAATTTAAGATCATCAGGAGAGGCCCTGCTCTCAATCCCACCACCTTCGCAAATGCGGTTGGTGGGGATGAGAGACAGGGCCTTTTTGGCGGTGGCCCCCCGTCTGTGGAATTCCCTCCCTAAGGACATCAGGTTGGCCAACTCCCTCCTGTCCTTTAGAAGACAACTGAAGACCTGACTCTGGAACCAGACATTTATGTGATTTATATTAATTGTATTGTCATTTATGTGATTTATATTAATTGTATTGTATTGATTGTTTTGTTATTGCTTTGTTTATTAATGTACTGTGGACTTGGCCTCATGTAAGCCGCACCGAGTCCCATGGGGAGATGGTAGCAGTGTATAAATAAAGTTATTATTATTATTATTATTATTATTATTATTATTTGACTAGAGGGGAACGGCAATATGAAAGAAAAAATTATGGACATCTCGATATTGGACTCTCTAGGCTTGGCTTAGTATTTTGGCACGCTAATTTATTGTTAATGAATTTATTGTTGAAGTTGGATAATGTTTTAAATGGATTTTATTGTTTTAATTGCATTTTATTGGTATATGTGGATTGCATCATTGGATGCTTATGTAAGGCCACCCTGAGTTCCCTTGCGGGGAGAAGGGCGGGATAGAAATATATGTAATAATATATTATTATTATTATTATTTCGGTTATTTCTACCCCGCCCTTGTCACCCCGGAGGGGACTCAGGGCGACTTACAAAGGCACAATTCAATGCTGGCATCAACATAACAGTAGAATAAAAACAATATAGCAGCAATTAAACAATTAACAATCAGTTTCTACATTGCAACAATAAAACCAATAAAACCGATTTCACCTAATTAACGCTCAGCGTTCGCCATCTCATAGTCCAGATTTCAATTCCACTTTGTCAGTCCTGTCAGTSCTAGTCGTCTARTTGYCCTTATCTAGTTGTTAGATTGCCCGAAGRCSTGGTCCCACAACCACGTTTTTAGTTTYCTCCTGAAGGAGAGGAGGGATGTTGATGACCTAATTTYYCCYRGGAGTGAGTTCCACAGGKGMSAGGCCACCGAGAAGGCYGAGAAGGCCCTGCTCCTCGTCCCCACCAACCTCACTTGTGATAGAGGTGGGGTCGAGAGCAGGGCCTCCCCAGATGATCTCAAACTCCGAGGTGGGGCATGGAGGGAGATACGTTCGGACAGATATTCTGGGCCGGAACCGTATAGGGTTTTGTAGGTCAAAACCAGCACCTTGAATTGTGCTCGGAACTGAATCGGCAGCCAGTGGAGCTGACACAACGGGGGTGGTGTGCTCCCTGTATGATGCTCCGGTGAGTAATAAACATAATAACTAAAAGAGTTCTTGGTGTGAATAATAGTCATTTTCTCATTCTCTGCAATGCTAGTAATTTGCGACAGGGGAAAAAAATTCAGTGATGGCCAGAATACATACTTTGTAGGGCAATCTCATGGTTATTGCACCAGATCACAAGAGAATTCTAATCTCTGCAGTGACCACAAATAATTTGCAACTATATAGTTTGGTGGTAGTTTGAATATTGAACTGTAACTGAAAACCCACTGGGTGATCTTGGACCCCAGAAAAGGCTATGATAGACTCGTCTTCATGTTGCCACAAGTCAAAAATGACTTGAAGGGATAACCTTTTGGCTGTGTAAGACATGAAAAGGAAATCTTCCATTAATGTCCTCTTCAAATGCTATAGCAAAATGGTGCATAGATGGGCATGAAGCTGATGATCAGTGTTGTATACCAGATGTGAAGGCTACAGAAAAATTTAGTCAGTTGGGTGGTTTTTAGTTGAGTCATGTGTTGGGGATTTGTTTTGGGAAGAGAATCCAAAAGAGTTCCAATGAAAATAGTAGAATTGGGGGGAGTGGGCTTGACCAATGCCCAGTGTCATTTTGTCTCTGGAGCAAAGTAGAATACCTGAAAATCACTTGAGACCACTATATGCCACTTAGTTCCTTACTACTTTGGCACGTACCTGATGTTTTTGTAGCTCTGTTGACATGCAGCTGTTCAAGCGTCATTCCAGCTGTATTATGCATATATATCTAACATTTGGAGTTCTGTGCCAGACAGGCTGCAGACTAACTGCTGGGTATAAAAGGCCTTGGGAGGAAAAAGCAAAGGGCATAGGGGTTAATTATTAGCTTCAACTGCCCTTTTGGCTGGTGCCAGGGTGAGACAGTGAGACGGATTGCAGGGGAGTTGTTAAATCCAAGAACTGTGCATGAACACGCAAACACAGGGCTTTTAATAAAAGACTAAGAAAGCTGGAAGAAGCAGAATATGACAAGCAAATTTGAAATCAGTTTGAGTGTTGTGGTTAGCATTGATTCTGAGAAAATGCAGAAAAGAATGAAACCAGTGGATACATAAATCATCTTTTGGATAATATCTGCTTTCATATTTCTTTAAAATTATGTTTCTAGTCCCTGTACCTACAGTAATAAGTTTGAAAATGGGTCAGCAATGCTTTCTGATGTTTCAGTATCCTGAGAGAGGGCTGAATAAGATTCTCAATATCAGTATTTAGTGCTGTTTTAATTTTCAGTGTTTTCATTTTTGTTAATCTTTTGACAGTTTATAGATTTTTAAACTTTTGTATATTAAGTTTTACCTATGTTTCTTTTAATTGAATCCTTATCCATGAAAAAGAGGAGATGATGATGATGATGATGATGATGATGATGATGGTAACGGCAACAGTCAATGATGTCCTTGAGTTGAAAATTTCCAATAGAATGCTATGTTTAATGGTGAAATCTTTGTTCCCAAACCTTTCAAACTTTAGCAGATTTATAGAAGTTAAGGTTGGGAATTTAGTTCTCCATTAAGCATTTTACCCTTCCTGTGAGTAGCAAAATCTGAACAAATTAGTATATGCAAGAAAAATGGGAACAGGGAGGGAGGAAAAGAAAATACTAAGGGTGCATCTACACCAGGCTTGGGCCAACTAAGGCCCGAGGGCCAGATGCTTACCTCAGGCCCTCCTAATTTTCCCTGTCCTTTTGGCAGAAGGACATGATGTCCTGCTATGTCCTCATGCCAAAAAGATGGGGGAAGAAGGCACGTAGCAGCTGAAAGCCCTCTGGAGCGTTCTCAGCCTCCATGTGTCATGACCTCCTCCAAGCATAAGTATGGTGCGAGCGGCTCCATCTTTATGCCAGGAGGACGACTCAAAGAAGGCGTGCGGTGGCTGAGAGCCCTGCGAAGCACTCTCAACAGCCACCTGCCTTGCCCTCCTCCCGGCATAATGCCTAGAGGGCAGCCCGAGGATTGGGAAGGGAGGATGGGGAGGAGGATTGGGGCAGTTGTCACATATCCTGCCTTCCTCCCGGCATAAGCATAGGGCAAGCAGTCCTGTTCTTATGCTGGGAGAACAATCTGGGGATGACCCATGCCCTGCCCTGCTTCCTCCTGACCCCACCCTCTCCTGGCCCTTTCCCTCCCGGGCCCACCCCACCTAGTGTGTGCCTGGCCCCCCTGCCTCCTGGCCCGGCCCTTTCAGCTGGGCCCGCAATGCGGCCCCAAGACAAAAAAAGTTTGCCTATGTGTGATCTGCACTGTCAAATTCATTCAGTTGGACACCCGCTTCAGCTGCAGTGTTGCAATCCTATGGAAACCTGGAAGTTGTCAGAGAAGGCCGTTATTCAGTCTTCTCTAATAAAAAGTACTGATGCCTCACCAAACTACAGATCCCAGGATTCCAGCTCTTTAAGCGGAGCCCCCGGTGGTGGAGTGGGTTAAACCCCTGTGCCGGCAGGACTGAAGACCGACAGGTCGCAGGTTCGAATCCGGGGAGAGGCGGATGAATTCCCTCTATCAGCTCCAGCTCCTCATGCGGGAACATGAGAGAAGCCTCCCACAAGGATGATAAAAACATCAAATCATCCAGGCGTCCCTTGGGCAATGTCCTTGCAGACGGCCAATTCTCTTACACCAGGAGTCACTCCTGACACGACAAAAAAAAAAAAAAAGCTAATTAAGCCATGGTAGTTACAGTGGTGTCAAACTGCATTGATTCAACAGTGAGATGAATCCTTAGATAAATTGTTTACATTATATGAATTGTACAAATTTCTAGGTTTGGATAGCTTGATTGCAGAATTTGCATCTTCTTAGCAAGGAGCCCCCATGATAAGCTCTATTCTCTAAACCAAACAGAGGTTTCTGGCCTTCTTGAGAAGGGGATTGGCTTCACTCACTACTCCAGACATATTCTGTTTGCTTTCCTAGAATGCAGCCTTGAAAGCCTTTGTGGTAATCTTTCCAATGTTCTTTCTTCCTTTAGGAAGCTGAAGGAGGAGGAGGAACCCCGTGCCTTATCCCTTCCTTCTATCCCAAACCCTTTCCCAGAACTCTGCAGCCCTTCCAACTCACCCATCCTCAGCAGCCTCTCCCTGGGACCTGGATCACCCCGAGAAGGTGGCTCTCATGTAAGTGAGTCCGACTACATTTGAGTATCAAAAGGAGACTGGGACAGGGCTTGCTTTGAATTAATGGGGATAGTCTCTAGATCAGGCATTATGCTAAATGTTCTTTGACAAGAAGCTGGCCACTTCAAGTGCCTCTGATGTCACTCAGAGAAGGTCCTCTATTGTGCATGTGGCAGGGCTCAGACTGTATAGTAGTAAGTGGTCTGTGGTTTGCTCTTCTCCAAACTTGCATGTTGTGGACTCCACTTTGTAGCACCATTTCTTAAGATTGGTTCTGCATCTTGTGGTACCAGAGTGACTTCCAAGTCGCCCAGCCTTCTGTGTGTCCAGGAGGTAGTTTCTCACCCAGTATCAGCAACTGATTGAGGTTCCGGGTTTTAGCCTGCTACTTTTGGACTCTTGCTTGTTGAGGTGTTCTTGCGAGTATTCTTGTAGATCTTAGAAAGCTGTCTCTTGATTTAAATCATGGCGTGCTGGCTGATATCCAAACAGAGGATGGGCCGGAGATGTCACTGCCTTGGTCCTTTCATTATTGGCTGCTACTTCCCGACGGATGTCATGTGGTGCAATACCGGCAAAACAGTGTAATTAGTGGTGTTGGGAGTAGACATCCTATGATAATGGGGCATGTCTCATTAAGAGCCATGTGCACTGTTTTAACATGGTGATATGTATTCCACATATTCCTCTTTTTTTTATTGGATCTCTCCTCTTTCCTTTAGTTATAAAGCAAGAGATAATAATTACAAACAGTAGATCAGTTGCAGTGTATCTGTTTTTGGTTTTATGTTGGATCTTGCTCCTAACACAATTAGAACAATGGATGAATGTATTGTCGAAGGCTTTCATGGCCGGAATCACTGGGTTGTTATAGGTATTTTTCAGGCTTTATGGCCATGTTCTAGAGGCATTCTCTCCTGACATTTCACCTGCATCTATGGCAAGCATCCTCAGAGGTAGTGAGGTCTGTTGGAACTAGGAAAATGGGTTTATATATCTGTGGAATGACCAGGGTGGGACAAAGAACTCTTGTCTGTTGGAGCTAGGTGTGAATGTTTCAACTGACCACCTTGATTATCATTAGATGGCCTGGCAGTTGTTTGGTGTGGTCTGTTGGTGCCTGGGGCAATCTTTTGTTAAGAGGTGATTAGATGTCCCTGAATGTTTCCTCTCTGTTATTTTGCTGTTGTAATTTTAGAGTTTTTTATTACTGGTAGCCAGATTTTGTTCATTTTCATAATTTCCTCCTTTCTGTTGAAAATTGTCCACATGCTTGTGGATTTCAATGGCTTCTCTGTGTAGTCTGACATGGTGGTTGTGAGAGTGGCCCAGCATCTAATCACCTCTCAACAAAAAGTTGCCCCTGTTCAAACCAGAGAATCTGGGATAAGATCCTGAGATATAGGGCAGTGTAGATCATCTTAAGGGTACATCTAAATTGCAGAATTAATACAGTTTGATACCACTTTCATTCCATCCCTCAGTGCTGTTGACTCATGGTAGTTGTATTTTTACAAGCCTTTTGTGCCAAAGAGTGTTGATGCCTCACCAAATTACAAATCCAAGGATTCCATAGCATTAAGCCATTGCTATAAAAGTGATCTCAAACTGCATTAATTCTAGTGTAGACGCACCCTAACCAATGCAGGGGGGGGGGGGAAGAGTGTGGATAAGACCAAAGCACAGGAAATGATGTGAATCCTTGCTTTCGTAAGCTTTTAGAGAGACATGCAAGCTAGCACACAAAGGCTGCAACCTCAAGCAGGTTTCATGCCTCAGTCCAATATCCAAAACAATACAGAACAATACATGAATACCCAAAACAATACGCACGAGGCATGAGCCCTTTGTTAAAGATAAGAACTTAGGTATCATGACTCTATAGTGTTACCCGCGCCACCTCCCCTCTATTGAGTAACAATTAAAATGTGTGGCTCGAGCTTCACTGGACATGAAAGGGTGAGGCTAATTTCTATGGGGACTGTTGTCAAGGTTCCCAAGTTTAGTTTGGCTAGCCTGCAAGCTTCCACCCAGGCAGTTTGTAGTCACGGGACAGAAGGTTGTCAACAGTCTAGGAAATGTTTCAGCCCACCTACTGTCTCAGAATGTCCTATCAAAGCCAGCAGAGCGATATTAAATAGACATCCCCCCTCTGTGTGTGGCAGAGAAATACAGGGATGTTCCTCTGTGTTCAGTACCAGAAGGAGCTGAGAAAAAGCTAGAGAGGAAGAGCAAACTATTTTCATGCCATGTTGTGACGAGAGTGTTTATATACCGCATATACTTGAGTATAAAACGGGAGTTTCAGTCCTTTTTTTAGGCTGAAAAAGCCCCTCTCAAATAATGCTCGAGTCAAGGTTATTTATTATTTTACTCTGTTGTTGTTATTATTATTACATTTATTATTTTACTCTATTATTATTTTTATGACATTTGTTATTTTACTGTATTATTATTACATTTATTATTTTCTCTATTGTTGTTGTTATTACATTTACATTATTTTACTCTATTATTATTACATTTATTATTTTACTCTCTATTATTGTTGGAAGGATACATAATGCAGCAGCTACTGGTAAATTTCAAAATAAAAATAGATACCATTAAAATTACATTAATTGAGGCATCAGTAGGTTAAATGTTTTTGAATCTATATAAATAAAAATGTAATGTTCGTTTGTGGAGTTAACAGAACTCAAAAACCACTGGACGAATTGCCCCCAAATTTGGCCACAAGATACCTACCCAAGGAGTGACCATCACTCAAAAAAATTGAGTTTGTCATTTGAGAGTTGTAGTTGCCGGGATTTATAGTTAACCTACAATCAGAGAGCATTTTGACCTCCACCAGTGTTGGAATTGAACCAAACATGACACACAGGACACCCATGACCAACAGAAAACACCAGAAGGGTTTAGTGGGCATTGACATTGAGTTTGGGAGTTGTAGTACACCTACATCCAGAGAGCACTGTGGACTCAAACAGTGATGGATCTGGACCAAACTTGGCACAAATATTCCATATGCCTAAATAGGAACACAGATGGAGCTTGGGAGAAATAGACCTTGACATTTGGGAGTTGTAGTTACTGCGATTTATAGTTCACCTGCAATCAAAGAGCATTCTGAACCCCACCAACGATAGAATTAGGACAAACTTCCCACACAGAACCTGTATAACCAATAGAAAATACTTAAGACCATCCAGTCCAACTCCCTTCACTAGGGCAAGAAAACGTGATCAAATACTGTTTACCCACAAGCATAAAGACATTACATATATTAGAAACCAACACTTTCTCATTACTTTATTTTCCAGATCATCAGATTGGGCCACAGCAATGTGTGGCAGGGGACGGCTAGTATTTACATAAATATTGAGTCCCCTCCGGGGTGAGAAACATGGGGGAGAAATGTCATAAATAAATAAATAAATCTGTAATTTAAGATAAGACTGTCCAACTCTCATTAAACCATTGTTCTAACTTTCTTCAATGTAAATATGCTTTCCCACCCTCGGCTTATATTCTGGTCGGCTTATACTCGAGTATATATGGACATTTTTATAGTTTAATATCTCACCTTACAACTCAAAATCAAATCCTCATTAATAGCAATAAAATAACAACTCAAAATCAAATTACAATTAAAAGCAAAGCAGACCAAAAGGATATAAAGCACCAGCAACTTATCAGCAAAACAGATACAAGATTTAGGGTGTTTGCCCTATTCTAATATAGCCTACTGGTCCCATTCTAAGCAGATAACTAGAGAGACGGACCTTACGTATTTACCAAAGCTTGTGCAAGCTAATTTTCAAAGCATGACTAAATTATTTCCTGTGATAGTCAAATGCTTCAAGGGAGGTTGCTTGCATCCTTTTTTAAAAAAACAAAATATTCAAAAATGTCTTATGTTTATCTTGCTTCATATTCCTTGCTGCAGTTGTGGAGACAATTGTTTTTCCCTAAGGATTGTGCAACAAGAAAACATGTTGAGCTCTTCCACACCCCATTGTGATTCTCACCTCAAATCCACTGCAAACAATCCATACAATGTATGGATAGTTTCACAACAGAATCACTGCTTCCAAGTCATTAACCCATCACAAGAAGAAACTTAGGTTGCTTCAGAAGTTCTAAGAAACTCCAGTATTTTTAATGTGTGGATACCTGGATCAGACTGAATCCAGGGCAATCCGCATCCTACAACACATCAAAACATTCTTGCCAGGCAGAAGCAGATCCCCATCAGAGCCTTGTTGGTGACATTGTTTCTGGGATTAGATGGCTGGCTGTCATGTGGTGACTTCATCAGAAATGATATTGCTAGCAAGGCTCTGGTGGGGAGCTACTTTTGGCCAGCGACACAACAGTGACGGTTCCAGGAGAACAGGTCACTGGTGCCAATGCACCAATTGTCTGGTCAGTGGAATGGAATGAGGTGCTCCCATGGTGTATTAGGGGCAGCTCTGGAGTAGAATACTTGAAAGTATTTCACTTGAAATGGATTCAGAGTTCACTTTGGCCCCTTTTCCTACTGGAACATATAGGACTATGTATTGTCGAAGGCTTTCATGGCCGGAATCACTGGGTTGTTGTAGGTTTTTTTGGGCTATATGGCCATGGTCTAGAGGCATTCTCTCCTGACGTCAGACTACACAGAGAAGCCATTGAAATCCACAATCATGTGGACAATTTCAACAGAAAGGAGGAAACTATGAAAATGAACAAAATCTGGCTACCAGTATTAAAATTACAACAACTTATTAAACAGTATTACAACAGTATTAAAATTACAAAATCTAAAATTACAACAGCACAACAACAGAGATGTAAACAAGGACATCTAATCACCTCTCAACAAAGGTTTGCTCCAGGCACTGTCAGGCAATTATATGCTAATCAAGGTGGTCAGTTGAAACATTCACACCTAGCTCCAGCAGACAAGAGTCCTTTGTCCCACCCTGGTCATTCCACAGATGTATAAACCCTTT